TGGAGCCTGTCCTGGGCAGTTAAAAGACTAAATTAAACAAACTAGAAACAAGCTGGGTGGTGGTCCATGCCTTTAATCCCAGCACTCGGGAGGCAGAGGCAGGCGGATCTCTGGGAGTTCGAGGCCAGCCTGGTCTACAAGAGCTAGCGCCAGGACAGGCTCCAAAGCTACAGAGAAACCCTGTCTTGAAAAACAAACAATCAAACAAACAAAAAAGAATACATCAGGTTAGAGTATGACACATCGGGGCAGGTCATATTAGAATCCTCATATTGGAATGCTGCCATTTTGGCTTGTGGTGGATTGGAATACCTCAGGGTTGGAAGCTGAGTGCCATGCAGTCTCTATCACTTCCTGTGTGCTTGTGCTTAAGCGACGAACTTCCCTACCTTGTGCCTGGGTTTTCCTGTCTGCCGCGGGAGTGGATGTGATGAGGGCTAGCATTTCCTGAGTTCCCTGTGGACGCACCAGTGAGTCAGCACAGTCCATGCCCTCATGGAGCTCAAGATCCCGTGAAGAAGGATGGACACTGACACAAACGGCTCTGGTCCAGGGCAACACCTGGAAGGAGACACCTGTGGAAGCCCACACAAGACAATGACTAACCCAGCCGGGACAGGTGGCGTTGGGTGGTGTCCAGCGGAAACTTGATCTAAGACGCAGTGTTCCGGCCAAGACCAGAGGGAGAGGTGGTCCACGGGGAAGGGTGGGGAGAGCTTGAAACACAGAGGAAGCTTCAGAAGCAGAGACTCGGGACACTTGCTGTGCTCTCCAGAGCTGGAGCGCAGAAAGGTGGCAGGGACGGCCAAAGCAGTGTGTAGCCAGGGCGCTCATGGTCCTCCACGCTGGAAAGGAGTAAGTTAAGTTCCCACTGAGTTGGGTTTAAGTGGAAAAGGCCTACCCAATTCTAAGCACTCTGTCTGCCAGGATATGAGACAAATGGGCCTTTTGATAACTTTCCTATTCGAAATTCAAGTACCTTTTGTTGTCATTCATAGCAGATGACCGAGGTCAGTCCCACAAGCGACTGCAGCAGGTGACCCCAGCAGGTCCCGTATGAGTGGGAGACCACCGTGTGACCTGCTGGGGTCACTGCATCATGGATGATAACACCTTTAATATCTTGAGTTATATAAAGGAACTCCCGATTTTGTTTTGTTTCATTTTACTATACGGGGCCTTCAAACCTGCTAGGCCAATACTGAACCGCAGAGCTGTGACCTTTTTTCCTTTACATTTTAAGATGGGGTCGCACTCTGTGGCCTCAGCTGGGCTTGAATTTGCAGTGTTCTTGCCTTAGCCTCCCAACTAGCTGGGACGACAGGCCTATGACACCAAACTCAACCGATTGCTGCTGTCTTTTTAGCTGTTTTCTTTCTTTATTTCTTAAGTTTACTTTCAAGGAATAAGTGAAAATTACATATCTTATGGTATTTCAATAAATGTACACATACAATATGGAATAGTTAAGCAAAACTACTTACCACAGACATTACTTCATATCTTTGCAGTAAGAACACGTAACACCCCTTGATAATGCTGAGGGATGTAACTGAGGAACTTGAGGAACTTGTCCATGCTGGCCGTGTTCTCAATCTCTGAGACACACACACACACACACACACACACACACACACTGGGGGATTCTAGGCAAATGTTCTACCTCTGAGCCACACACACATCCATCACTGTGGGACCCTAGGTAGGGCCTCTAGCAATAAGCCACATCCCAGGCTCCTCACTAGGGAAATTCTAGGAAAATATTCTACCTCTGAGCCACATCTCCAGCAAGGGACTACACAACTGAGTCATCCCCAAATCCCTAGTTCTGACGGTCCTCCGGTCTCAGGCAGAGGCAAAATGCAAGGAGACCCCTCTTGTAGCCTAGTGAGTGACCCAGAAAATGGGGAGTGCTGAGGTGGGTGAAGAACCAGTCTGAACTGGAACCAGAACATAGACACAAGGAGGAGTGAGCGTCACAGAAGGGAGGCAGTGGGACAGGGTTGAAAGGGCAGTGCATTGTGTGCGGGGAACTGACTGGGGAAGTAGGTGGGTATCAAGGAGATGCTAAGGTCAGGAGAGACCTAGCGTGAAGTGCCAGCTAAGACTTCTTAATCAGAGTGATGGGAACTGAGCAGTACAGGAGATCAGGAGAAGGTCACACGAGGTGACGTGCCCAGAAATGCTGAGGGGCACATTATTCATGCCTGTTGTTGCTACTGCCTGTTGGCTTCCGAGTATGTCTCCAGTTCCCCTCTGTGTCCCCACACCCTTCCCCAGGTCCCTCCACCCCACCACCCTCCATCAGTTCCCTCCCTTGCAGCCCACACTGACCGCTGCCTGCTCTTCCCACACACACCTGCATCTTCTCTTCTTCCCGACTCTTGCTTCTCAGACCCAAGTTCAAAGGCACCTCCCGTAATCCTCCCAGTTTGTGATATAGCTCTGCAGTGCTCCCGCTTATCTCTCGTGGGGTTGCTCCCCAGTTCCTGCATGTCAGGAATCCTCTCTACCCATGTGTCTCTGTGTACATGCAGCGTCAGTGAGGCTACATGCCCTCCTGGACCTCACTAACTTCTACCTCACAGCATGCCATCCCTTCTCATACCCCTGGAATAGAACTGCAACCAGGGGCACACACCTTTCCCCAAACAGTACAGGGAAAGAGACAGCAGAGAAACAGAAGATATGTAGAGTCCAGGGGGGCTAGGAGACAGACAGACAGACAGACAGACAGAGACAGATGAGACAGAGACACAGTGGCATGGAGAGAGACAGAGAGAAATCAAGAGAGACAAAGACAAAAAGAGATGGAGAGAGATGAAGAGAAATGAGACAGAGATAGAGAGAAAATGAGGCAGAACCAGAGAAATGGAGAAAGAGACAGACACAGGTAGAAAGGCAAACAGAAAAAGACATAGACAGACAGATAAGGAAAAGCACAGAAAGAGAGAAAGACAGAGATTAAAAACATGCACAGAGAGAGACAGACAGACAGAGATAGAAAGGGAGAGGGAAGAAATAGAGGTGCTGAAACAGGCAGAGGCAGAGAAAGTCTGAACACAAAAGGACAGAGAAAAAGAAGAGAAAATATCAGAGCAAAGGCTCGAGAGAGGCAAATGCGTTTGAGATGGAGCTTCCTCCATCATAGGCAGACACAGGGGAACGGGGCCAGAGAAGCTGAAGGTGGGACAACCTGGAGGAGAGGGTCCAGAGCTCGAAAATATTCAGATCAAGGCCCCAGCAAGACTTGTTAGTCACACTGGCACAAAGGGAAGTCCTTGGCATAGCCTGCCACCCTTCTTCCTGGAACTGCTGGGAGTTTGGCCACGTTTCTGGGGACAGACAATGGCTGATTGTTGGACGTCTCTTTCCCCACACTGCTCATCCTGCTTCCCAGCCTGGGTTAGGGGCGGGGGACAGCTGAGTGAAACACCCTTTCTCAACAGAAGGCTTGCAGCTCCCACTCTCCTGGGGATGTAGAGGTCTTCAGCACCCACAGAGGGACTGGTGACTCATCCTGACCCCACTGAACCTGGGCAGCTGGTTCCAGTGCCTGAGAGATCTAAGCCCAGGAGGAGGTCCTGCGGATTTCCTAATGGGTACAGGCAGGGTGGTTGTGGAGGTCGGGGCACTACTGACTAACCTGGAAGCAGGCACTAAGCACTCATTCCGATTATGTCCCAAATCCTGCAAATCTAAAACTAAGAAGGAGCTCTTTCTCTCTACCTCAGCCCCGCGGGTTTGTCTCAACCCTTTCTTTTAGATCGGGCTCCAGGATCATCTTTCCTCTTCAGACTCAAGAGTCCAGGATTCCTCCCTCAGACTCAGGGGTCCAGGCCTCAGCACTTCTTCAGACCCAGGAGAACAGACTCAGCTCCTCCCTCAGGACCCAGATCCAGGGTCACTACAGACCAGAGCTAGGCACTGCCTTCCTCCCTCAGGACCCAGATCCAGGGTCACTACAGACCAGAGCTAGGCACTGCCTTCCTCCCTCAGGACCCGGATCCAGGGTCCCTACAGATCAGAGCTAGGCACTGCCTTCCTCCCTCAGGACCCAGATCCAGGGTCACTACAGACCAGAGCTAGACACTGCCTTCCTCCCTCAGGACCCAGATCCAGGGTCACTACAGACCAGAGCTAGGCACTGCCTTCCTATAGTTATCTGATCAGGGGTCACCATGAGCAGAGCCATGGGGCAGAAGGAATGCATGTGGGAGGCTTGGGTGAAGAAAAGGGTGTGTCTGGCTTCCTAATGGCTAGGCGACTGGAAGAGAGAGGGGTTAAAAGGAAGCTGGAAGAGCCTGAGAACAGAGCCTGCCTCTTTCTGGGAGACCATAGTGCAAGGCAGGTTCCCGTTTCTACTGCTTAGGGCCCCGCACCCAGGGGTCTCCTACCCTGTGCAACTCGGATCTTAAGGCCACCTTCACTAGTCTGCTCTCTCCCTTCTCCCGTGGAACACCTGCATTGCTGACTGTTTCTGCCTCTGGCTTCCTGTGATAGGTGGTGTCATTTTTCCTACCTAAGTGTTGGCAGATACGCTGCTGGCCACGAACGGTAAGACATACACACTACAACACCTATATAGGGGGTGAGTGAAAGGTAAGGATGGAGCCAAGGTACAAAAGAAAAGTCCCATTGAGAGGAAGCATGTCGGTGACCCCTTGGGACTAACCTCTCTGTTGGCAGAAAGGGAGACCAGAGTCCAGGGAGGCAGGAAGGTTGGCTGTGCTTCTTCCCCAGAGCAGCTGGAACCATGGGCATGGTCTACATCCTGCTTTGCATCTGCTCTACAGAACCCTCAGGTTCAGGTGTGGGTTGGGAAATGAGAAACCAGGAGGTGAGAAGGGGGCAGAGATCAAACAAGGGCAGGAGGAGAGGATAGGACAGGACAGGGAGGACAGAGAGGACAGAGAGGGTGAGGAAGGAGCAGGGCGGGGTCCTGGACAGAGGTTAGAATCTGACTAACACAATCATTGGCTTCCCCACTCCAGGCAACCATGGAGAAGCTGGTGGTGAAGATGCTGGCCATGTGTTTGGCTCTTGCTAACCCAGGTGATAAAAGGATCATAGAAAGGAAAGATGATTTGTGGGTGGATGGGTATTGTTGGCAGATGGTAGCTGAGGGCATTGAGATGAGCCCTGAGAGGTCTGGCCAAGGACAAGTCTGGAAAGAGGGTTTGAGGACGGAGATGTCTAGGCGTGGTGGCACATTCCTTTCGCGCCTTCAATCCCAGCACTCGGGAGGCAGAGGCAGGCAGATCTCAGAGCTGGAGTCCAGCCTGGTCTACAGAGCTCGGATCTCAGAGCTGGAGGCCAGCCTGGTCTACAGAGCTCGGATCTCAGAGCTGGAGTCCAGCCTAGTCTACAGAGTGATTTCCAGGACAGGCAGTAGTACACAGAGAAACCCTGTCTGAAAAACAAAACAGCAACAACAAAACAAAAAAGGAGGAGTGGAGAGAGGTAGAGTAGAGGGATGGGAGGCCGGACTGGAGGCGAGGATGGGGTTGGGGACCGACTGGATTGCGGTTTGTCTCAGGAGGGTCTAGGCTCTCTGAGCTCTTCTCTCACTCAGATCCTCTTTCTCTCAGCCTGGACGGAGGAGCAGGATAAGGTGGTACACGGTGGCCCCTGTTTGAAGAACTCTCATCCTTTCCAAGCCGCCCTCTACACCTCAGGCCACCTGCTGTGTGGTGGGGTCCTTGTTGACTCACAATGGGTGCTCACCGCTGCCCACTGCAAAAAACCGTGAGTGTCTCTTTCCTGGAGAAGTGAATGGAGGGGGATCCAGAGGGTACTGGGTACATGCAGACTTCAGGAGGGAGGCAGACCTGAGCACTCACCATCCTGTAAGCACATTTGATCAGCCAGGGTAGTCATGGTTCCAAGACCCTGGGGGATATCCAGATTTGCTGATACTTAACACTCTTCCAAAAAAAAAAAAATAACGCGACACTTGTGTGTGGTCTATGGGTTCCCTCGCGGGGGCTCGAAAGAAGGCGGTGATGCAGGAGCCGGTGGAGTGATTGCCCTGGGTTCCATCCCAGCATCTCCCAAACTGGTCCCGGTACAGTACCACTGTAGTCTTCTCATTTGAGAGATAAGGCAGGAGAACCAGAAGCACAGCTGGTCCTCAGATACACAGGGAGCTTGAGGTCAACTTGGGCTACAAGAGATGTTCTCAAAAAACCAAAGCAGGAGCTGGAGCAATAGCTCGGTAGTTAACCTGCTTCCCAATCATTAGAAGCGAACCTTGGATCCAAGCACCTATGTCACATGCCAGACAGCCTGAAAATGCCTATAACTCCAACTCAGAGGGATGCAAAGCCCTTTTCTGGCCTCTGCACATGCAGGCCAACACACACACACACACACACACACACACACACACACACACACACACAATCAAATAAAATCTTTCAAAAAATAGGATTGGAGAGATGGCTCAATGGTTAAAAGCACATGCCTGCAGAGGACCAGAGTTCAGTCCCAGCATCCGCATGGCAGCTCACAACTGCCTGCAACTCCAGCGTCAGGAGATCCAACACCTTCTCCGGCCTTCATGGGCACCACACTCAAATGCACATGTGAGCCCCACCTACTCACACATATAATTACATAAAAAAGTTTTAAAAATAAATTCATAAATAAAATTATTCTTAGATAAATGCTGCATGAGTAGTTGTTAAACTATTTTTTTTTTGAGGAAAAGATAGAAAGAAAAAAATCTGTATATGTTTAATAGTGACACATTTCCCCATACATATTCAGATGTTCATTTATTAATAGTTTTGTGTGGGTGCACCTCTGAAGGTCCCAGGACGATTTGTGGGATCAGGTCCTCTCCTCCCACCTTTATGTAGGTTCCGGAGGCTGAACTCAGGTCATTGGCTTCTGCAGCAGTCACTGGACTTGCTGAGCCATCTTGCCAGCTCCTTTCTCCATATTTTGCTGCTTGTTTGGTTTTGAGTCAGGCAGGGTCTCTCTACATAGTCCTGGTTGGTCTGGAATTCACTATGTACATCAGGCTGGCCTCACACTCATAGAAATCCCCCAGCATCTGCCTCTAGAGCACTGGGATTAAAGGTATGCCCCACCATGCTCGGTGCTGCCGTGGTTTTGATCTGTGGTTAGTAGAATCTGTGTGTGTAGAAGGTGCAGCTACAGAGCTAAATGTCAAGCTGTGCCATAGGAAAAGAAGAAAAATTCTAGAAGAATGAGTTTGCCTTTGACTGAGCTGGGAAAGATCAGAGGAGGAGGGAGGAGTGGGGCAGATGGTCTCTCTGGGCCTCAGGTGAAGCCCAGCACGGTAGGTGATTCCTAGCTGCTTCCTTCCCAGGAATCTGGAGGTGCTCCTGGGGAAACACAACCTGCGGAAAACAGAGAATTTCCAAAGGCAGATCTCTGTGGATCAGACAATTATCCATCCCCGATACAACCCTGACACCCACGACAACGACATCATGATGGTGCATCTGAAAACTAAAGTCAAATTCTCTCAAAAGATCCAGCCTCTGCCCTTGAGGAGAGACTGCTTTGAGGAGAAGCCTAGCTGCCAGATCCTCGGCTGGGGCAAGATGGAAAATGGTTAGTGAGGGGAGACGGTTGGCGGGGGTCCTAAGGATGGACATGGATGGTAGATGGCGGGCCATGAGAAGATGCTGATGGAGAGGACCAGCAAGTGGGTTGTGTATAGTAAAAGACGGAGGGAGGAGAAGGTTGAGGATTTGGACCGAATATGGATGGATGGATGGCATGGAGAGGACGGCCACAAAATCAAAGGCAACGAAGAATTCATGGAGAAATAATGACTAGTGAGGACGTCAGAGCAATAACGATGGGGACAGGAACAATCAATCAGGAGACAGTGTCAAGGAAGATGGATTCCAAGGTAATGACTAGTCAGGACGTCAGAGCAATAGCGATGGGGACAGGAACAATCAATCAGGAGACAGTGTCAAGGAAGATGGACTCCAAGCATGAGAAAGAAACAAAAATGGAATCAATAGGAAATGGGGGGAAGGGCAGCGAAGACAAGAGAGAAATGGCTCCCATAGCCTGGCCCGTCTCCCTCCTAGGTGACTTCCCAGACACCATTCAGTGTGCTGATGTCCAGCTGGTGTCCCGGAAGGAGTGTGAGCGTGCCTACCCTGGTAAGATCACCCAAAACATGGTGTGCGCAGGTGACAAGAAAGAAGGGAACGATTCCTGTCAGGTGAGTATGGGAGCAGAGATGTGAAGTCCACAGCAAACAGGAAGACAGAGACACAGGCCAAAAGGAGTGGAGCAGAGGTTGAGAAAGCCAGCTGGGAGGGCACTGGAGGACAAGACGGGGGAAGAGACTTCATCTCACATAAGCAGAGATGGATAAAAAAGAAGCAAGCCAGCTTGGGGCTAAGAGGACGGCTCAGCCTGTCAAACACATGCCAGGCAACTATGAGGACCTAAGCTGAAGGGCGTGTGCTTGTCATCCCAGTACCGGGGGACAGAGACAGGCAGATCTCTGGGGTTCACTGGCCAGCCAACCTGGCCTAATTAGTGAGCTCAGGCCAGTGAGTGACCCTGTCTCAGAAAAACGCAGCAGGTGATTCCTGAGGAAGGATGCTAAAGTCGACTGCTGGCCACCCGTGCACACAAACACTCTCACACGTTCACACACACACACACACACACACACACACGACACCCAGCAGAAACAGGAAGTTCACACACACACACACACACACACGACACCCAGCAGAAACAGGAAGTTCACACACACACACACACACACACACAAGACACCCAGCAGAAACAGGAAGTTCACACACACACACACAAGACACCCAGCAGAAACAGGAAGTTCACACACACACACACACACACACACACACGACACCCAGCAGAAACAGGAAGTTCACACACACACACACACACTACACCCAGCAGAAACAGGAAGTTCACACACACACACACACACACGACACCCAGCAGAAACAGGAAGTTCAGACACACACACACACGACACCCAGCAGAAACAGGAAGTTCACACACACACATGACACCCAGCAGAAACAGGAAGTTCACACACACACACACACACACACATGACACCCAGCAGAAACAGGAAGTTCACACACACACACACACACGACACCCAGCAGAAACAGGAAGTTCACACACACACACACACACACGACACCCAGCAGAAACAGGAAGTTCACACAAACACACACACACAAGACACCCAGCAGAAACAGGAAGTTCACACACACACACACACACACACACACACACGACACCCAGCAGAAACAGGAAGTTCACATACACACACACACACACATGACACCCAGCAGAAACAGGAAGTTCACACACACACACACACACACGACACCCAGCAGAAACAGGAAGTTCACACACACACACACACACACACACGACACCCAGCAGAAACAGGAAGTTCACACACACACACACACACACGACACCCAGCAGAAACAGGAAGTTCAGATGCGAGGACAGAGAGGCAGACACTACAATGGCTAGGCAAATATGGGTGAACCTAGTAAGCCTGAAAACTTAAGAAACAATTCCAGTGAATGGTCACCTTGGCTGAAGTTTTGGATAACCCATTCCTCCTCTCCCTTCTCATCCTTCCGTGTAAGTTTCTGATTTTCTTTCTTCCACATAGGGTGATTCTGGAGGGCCCCTGGTATGTGGACGTCATCTCCGAGGCCTCGTGTCATGGGGTAACTTGCCCTGTGGATCAAAGGAGAAGCCGGGAGTTTACACCAATGTCTGCACCTATATCACATGGATCCAAAACATCATAAAAAACAAACGGCTGTGACATGAGATATCCCCCGACCCTGGCTGACTACAGATTCTCCCTCCCTGACACCCACCCTACTCTCAGAACCATCAGATGCCCAGATCTGACATTGATGCTTAATAAATGTAGTGGCCCAGAGCACAGACCGTTGCTAACTATACTTCATTGCATCCCCGGGAGATTGAAGGGCATAGACTACAATCCTACCCCCACGGGTGTGGTTAGCAGAAGGACTCCAAATGTGGTCACTTACTGTCTGAGCACCCTTGGGATGTATTTTCCTTTATAGTGTGAATGTTCTCATTTGTAAAACTGGGATATTGTAGAGCTGGAAAAATGCTCCATGGTTAAGAGCACCTACTGCAGAAACAAGGAGTGTTCGTTCACTTCTACCAGTAAATGTTCACAAGGAATGCTTTTCATTATTCCATTCTGCGCCTTGGAAGCCTAGCCATGTCCACTGCTCTATAACCCAATCTCATATCCACCGTGGACTCCTCTGCCTTGTTCTAGCCCCTCAGAGATAATCTCCTCAAACTCTCTGTAGTGAGAAGCTATGGTCTGCCCCTATACTGAGGCAGAGGCCGAGAGTGGGTTAGTGACTCGTAGTGACTCTCAGTGCTGAAACTCAAGGGTACAGTGCTTTGTGTGATTGCTTGGTTTGGTTGTGTTTACGTGTTTGTTTGAGACAGAGTTTCTCTGTATAACCCTGGTTAACCTGGAACTTGCCAGTAAGCTAGGCTGACCTTGAACTCAGAGATCCACCTACCTCTACCTCCCATCCCAGAGTATTGGGATTCAAGGTGCATGCCACCACTGCCCCGTGTGAAGAGTATAGTGTTCTCAAAGGCAGAAGACACAATTGCTTCCATATTAGCTGAGGATCAGAGGAACCTTACAACATTCTTTTTGATAGGACATAGTTACTATTTCAGATACAACATGACAATTAATTTTGATTTATACATTTTTTGGTTATTTTTGTTTATGTTTAGTTTGTATAAATATTAACTATTTTAATGAATCTATCTGGGTCATGATCAGGACCATGGAAATTCCAAATGTAATGCCAAGATCGACATGGCTGTTGGCGGAGGAGGGCTGAGGGCTGAGAAGAGTCCAAGCAGACATGGAGTCAGGACAGGAAAGTGTCTGTAATCTTAGTCACTTCAGTAGCAGCAAAAATAAGGAGGTGAAGCCAGGTGTGGTGCACGCCTTTAATCCCAGCACTCAGGAGGCAAAGGCAAGTGGGTCTCTATGATTTAGAACCCAGCCTGATCTACACAGAGAGTTCCAGAAAAATCAGACAGACAAACAAACAAAAAAGGATGTGTGAGTATTGTGCTATTATGGGAGGGTAAGAGTGATGGGAGATGTCATAAAGGACCTCAGGTACCAGCATCTGAGATGATGACCTTCTTCTAAAGGTCATAGGAAGACACAGAAAATTAGACCAGCCATATGCGGGGAGCCAAAGGGAAGAGACCGTAACTGTGGGATGTGGGAGTAGTTTTGGTGATGCTGCAGGGAAGGAAGGGGTAGAACTAGGACTGAGAGAGTTAAAGAAAGGTGTCTGGATGTGGAGGTTGGCTGGGTACCATGAGCAGTAAGGAAAACCTATGTATAAGAGCTTCTGGAGACCACACTAGACAATGGAAGCCAGGATTTGAAGCAGGAAAAAGAGGTGACACAGGAGATTCAATCAATGGGAGATGACATGACTAAGGGACAGGCAGGGGAAACTGGGCTTGACTATGAGAAATAAAAACAAAACAAAACAGGGTCAGAACTGAGTCAGAATCTTGATGGAGGAGGGTCATCTGTCTATTTGTTATTTTCATTGGTTAATAAAGAAACTGCCTTGGCCCTTTTGACAGGACAGCAGCTTAGATAGGCAGAGTAGACAGAACAGAATGCTGGGAAGAAGGCAATGAGGCAGAAGATATAGCTCTCCTCTCTAAGATAGACACAGGTTAAGATCCTTCCTGGTAAGCCATCACCTTGTGGTGCTACACAGATTATTAGAAATAGGTTAAAGCAAAATGTGAGAATTAGCCAATAAGAGGCTGAAACTAATGGGCCAGGCAGTGTTTAAAAGAATACAGTTTCCATGTAATTATTTCAGGTAAAGCTAGCCGGTGGCCGGGAGCTGGGAGGCAGGAAGCGGCCCATTGCTCCTACTACAGAATCTTAAGAAGTTTTATAGATTTTGAGACAAGGTCTCAGGTAGCCCAAATTGGCCTTGAACTCTTTATGCAGCCAAGGATGGCCTTGAACTTCTGATGCCTCTGCCTCAGTCTACTGAGCACTCAGACTATGCTCAGTTTTCTGTTCAGTGCTGGGTTCTGTCTTAGTTAGGGTTTTGCTTGCTGTGAAGAGACATTATGACCACAACAACTCTTACTAAGGAAAGCACTTACTTGGGGTTGGCTTGCAGTTTCAAAGATTTAGTCCATTATTGTCATGGTGAGAAGCATGGCGCCGAGCATGGTGCTGGAGGACCTGAGAGTTCTACATCTTGATCCACAGGCATCAGGAAGTGAACTGGCTATGAGCTCAAAGTTCACCCCCACAGCGACACACTTTCTCCAACAAGGCCACAGCGTCCAATAGCGCCACTCCTGGGGTCAAGCATTTGAACGCACGAGCCTATGGGAACCATTCCTATCCAAACCACCACACTGGGGAACGAGCCTGGGGCTTTGTACATGTTGGGCAAGTTCTTTGCTAAAGCTCTGATCTAAGAACCAAAGAAGTGCTAATCTTATAGACAATTCACAAGGGGGAAGCTGCTGACATTCTGAGTGAGTGGGAGGATAGAATGGTGACAGCCAGGCAGTGTCAACCAACACCCAGTAAAACATTAGGAACAGTAGAAACAGTCATGAAGCTGACCAGAGCCACCAGGAAGAACACAGAAAATGGGTGTTAATACCAGGGTCCGCTTCAGCTCCCTGAGTGGGCTCGCCACTCTCCTATTTAACCAGGAGCATGCTTATAGTTTGGGAGGATGCATCCATGACCACCATGGCAGGGGTCAGGCTGGGAGGCAAGCGGGCAGGGCACTGGAGCAGAAGCTAAGAACTTATATCTTACTCAGCAAATTAGAAGTAGAGAGAGTGTGTGTGTGTGACTGAACCTGACATGGGTGTTTGCAACCTCAAAGCTCCACTTCCATTGACATACCTCCTCCAAAAAGTCCACACCTTCTAATCCTTCCCCAAACACTTCCACCAACTGGGGACCAGGCATTCAAATATATGAGCCTATGGAGACCATTCTCATTCAAACACCACACTCCACCTACTTAAGCCATTAATGCAGGATAACAGAAAGTTTGAGTAGAGTGTGAGCAATTTAGTGAGCCCTGTACCCAAATAAAAAGTAAAAGGAAGGTAGGGGTGCAATTCACTGCAGCCCCTGCCTGGAACCCCCCAGTGAGAGCATGAGGTGTGGCTCAGAGGTAGAGCCCCTGCCTGGAATCCCCCAGTGAGGGGCTGGGGTGAGGCTCAGAGGTAGAGCCCCTGCCTAGAATCGCCCAGTGAGAGCCTGGGGTGTGACTGGGTGTAAAATATCTGCCTGGCATGTTTGAGGTCCTGGGTCCCCTGCTTTCCCATGATCCCCCTTAAAAATATCAATCAATAAAAATGGCATTATGACCACAAAAACATAATAATAGCCATCTTAAAATACATATTCATCATGTGGGCATAATTCTATGTGTCAGCTCATTGGGGCCTGTCATGTGTGTGTTGTGTGAACCATAACTGCTCCCAGCTTAGAATCAAAGAAATTGAGGCACAGGGAGGGTCCACAGTTTGGGTCCAACTATTTTCCACACTGAAGCTGTCTTCCGATCTGTCACTTTTTATACCCAAGTGTGAAGTTTAGATCAGGCTTGTACGTTAGTTGGGCGTCCGTTTTTAAAGTGGAATCTCCACACATTTGATCTCTACTCGTATGCCAAGGAGAATTTGCCTGTTCTAGGCAGTCTTTAACTTTAGCTTAAAATGTGTAATGTTTGATCTGGGGTTTCTTGTTTTTCTCTTGTCTGTCTTTGGTGTCACTATAAATGGAAATCGGGGCCTCACACACCGTAGACAAGAGCATCACCTCTGAGCTGTATCCCTTTCCCTGTCACACAAAATTTAAAAGCCTGTCGGGGGGAAGAGTGAGCATGTCCACGAGTGTGAGTGTAGGTGTGTACGTGCCAAGGCTCTGCTGCAGAGGTTAGATGACAAACTCGGGCATCAGTCCTCATCTTCCACCTTCTTTGAGACTGGGTCTCTGCCTCTGTGTTGCCAGCCTAGCTGACCAGTGAGTGCTCAGTCTCATCCCACCAGGAGTGCTGGAATTATGACACATGCTACCATGTCTGACTTGATGTAGATTTGAATTCAGGACTTTATACATGCATAGCGAGTACTCTACCGCCTGGGTCATCTCCCTGTACCCTAAATAAATCTCCTTTGTTTTTTCTTGTGGTACAAGGGGGTGAAATATCCAGCTTCACCAAGCCGCACTGCCAATCCTTCTAATGTAAATTTTTTTGTTGTTTGTAGTTATGTCAAGTTGATATACAGTATTAGGATATTTGAAAGAATGCAAGATCAGTCATATTTCCAAGTATAATGTACTTGGATAATAAACCTTACAGATATCTGTATTTTTGGTCTAAAACCTAAATGACTTCCACACTGGGTGTGTTTCTTCCAGGAGTGTAGTTTAAAATGTTTGAAGGTGTCTCATTAATTTAGTTGATAAATGAGACAAAACAGTATTGTAACAATCTCATAAAAGTAAAACTATAGGGGGCTATAGAAATGGCTCAGCAGTTAAGAGCTCTGGTTAATCTTCCAGAGGACCCAGGTATGTCCCACCATCCACAAGGTGGCTCAAGCCTGTCTGTTACTCCAGTTCCAGGGGTTCCAACACCCTTACAAGGCATATATGCAGACAAAACACCAATTCACATAAAAATATACAAATAAATAATTTTTAAAGGTGACTAATAAAGT